TAGTTGAGTGTCTAACTATCATCAGTTTTTGTTTTAATTATTCCAGTTGAGTGTCTAACTATCGTCATTTTTTGTTTTAATTATCCTAGTCGAGTGTCTAACTATCGTCATTTTTTGTTTTAATTATCCTAGTTGAGTGTCTAACTATCATCAGTTTTTGTTTTAATTATCCTAGTTGAGTGTCTGACTATCATCAGTTTTTGTTTTAATTATCCTAGTTGAGGGTCTAACTATCATCAGTTTTTGTTTTAAATATCCTAGTTGAGTGTCTAACTATCGTCATTTTTTGTTTTAATTATCCTAGTCGTGTGTCTAACTATCGTCATTTTTTGTTTTAATTATCCTAGTTGAGTGTCTGACTATCATCAGTTTTTGTTTTAATTATTCCAGTTGAGTGTCTAACTATCGTCAATTTTTGTTTTAATTAACCTAGTTGAGTGTCTAACTATCGTCAGTTTTTGTTTTAATTATCCTAGTTGAGTGTCTAACTATCATCAGTTTTTGTTTTAAATATCCTAGTTGAGTGTCTAACTATCGTCAGTTTTTGTTTTAAATATCCTAGTTGAGGGTCTAACTATCGTTATTTTTTGTTTTAAATACCAGATGCCCGTGCCAATAAGAATAGAAGGAGAAGAAATAGGTGATGTGAAACAAAGGATCGTTGTATAATGAATAGAACTTAGTCAAATCTTTTAGAATGGATGATGAAGTTTTGTACAGATGAAAAAATTAAGGCATTTTCGTCATCTGTAAGCTCATTATTTCCGAACAAAAGTAAATCAGTTGAGAGTGGATGATTGATTTCGTTAAATGTATGTAAACGTAGTTGAGAAAAAAGACAACCATGTGATAGATAATGTTCATTGGTTTCATTTGCTTGCATGCAAGAACACAGAGGACTATCAATTAGATTTCTCTGGTATAGATAAAACTTAAGGGAACTACACTCCATTCTTAATCTAGCATGATGTATCTGCCCCAGTCTGGTACCATTAAAGTAGAACATTTTAATTTTGTGAGAGGGCTTGCGTAGATAGGTTTTAAGTTTATAAATTGAAGGGTCGTTTTTGACATAGTCAGGCAAGGAGTTCCAGATACTGATGGCAGATGGCAAAAAAGATTTATTATAGAGACTCGTATGACTAACTACTGGACGAAAATTATTTCCCGTGCGAGTATCATGGTTGTGGTAATTACGGTTACGCTGAGGTAGAATATCTAGAAGATATTGAGGAGCCAGACCATGAACCATTTTGTGGAAAAGAATAAGCTTGTGCTGTTTACGTCTTTCCTCGAGGGGAAGCCAACCTGTTTCAGTATACAGTTTAATTCTACTTGTGAGTCTAGTGCCGCCAGTGACTATGCGTGCTGCTTCTAATTGAAGATTTTCTAATAATTCAGATTGAGCTTTAGTAAGGCAGTCCCATAAGATATCGCCATAGTCTAATATAGGTCGAATAAGAGTGTAGTACATAGTTTGGAGACTATACCTGTCCAAAGAGAATTTAAATTTACGTAAGATATTTATTTTAGGTGAAATCTTAGATATCAAATAACTGATGTGTTCATTCCAATGACCATTTCCAGAGAGAAAAATACCTAAATGCTTGTGTGTAGCAACTTCAGAGATGTTAGTATTGTTCATATTTAAGGGAGTATGAAACGGTTTAATGGTTTTTCTACTAATGAGCAGGGTTTCTGTTTTGGAAGGGTTAAAATTTACTAACCATCTTTGCGACCAGTTATGAAACTTATTAAGGTCACTATTAAGAATATCTGCGCTGACTCTAGGAATATCAACGGTTACGTAAAGAGAGGTGTCATCAGCGAATAACTTTATTTTAGCTTGTATATCTTTAACAATGTCATTTATATATATCAAAAATAAAAGAGGTCCAAGAATTGAGCCCTGTGGAACACCAGCCTTAACATTTAACCAGTCTACATTATTCTCATTTTCCAGTTCCTGTATTTGATCTATTAACGTCTTTTCCCTTGCACAACACTGTTTCTTTTTAAAGGAAGAATATGAAATTGACTTACCTCTAATTTCCATTAATAGTGTTTCTAAAAATAACTGATCATTTATAACAAAATGTAAATCTGAATCGGGTATATCATCAATATTTTCAGGATTATATATAGGAAGGCAATACTGTAATTTAACTGTATCATTTAATAGTATCATTAATTATATTAAGATATTCCAGGTCATGTAATAAGGAACTTTTTAACTTCCATAGACCTTTACCTTTTTTAAATTCGTTAAATTTTAACATAATTTTGGGGAAAGAATTGTCTGATCTGTAACCTGGATCTATACTTGTCTCACCTACACTTTGAAATAAGTTCCCAGAAACCAAAAAGAAATCTAACCTAGCCTGCTTGATAGTTTTACTCCTACGCCATGTATATCTGGAAATGTCAGCATGCTGTTCTCTAAAAACATCTACTAAATCAAAGTTATCTATTATTTCTAATACCCTACCAAGGCTAAACTTGTGCATGTAGGCAAGTTCACGTACCCGAGGAGACTTGTAAGACAGGGGGAATGCTGAGGATACCAATGCCAAAACTGTACATGTCGACGGGTTCACGTACCTGGAGAGCATTGCAAGACGGGGGAGGAAACTGAGGATATCAAGGTAGATGTTGCAATGTGTGCGTTTGTTAATGTCAACATCCATTGGCAATTTACTTTTGCCAATGCTAGTAGTTTGTTAATTACATAAAAGGATACGATGTTAACAAAAAATAAAAATGCTTTATTGTTGTAATTTCCTACCTGCACTTTATTTGCCTGTCTTCACGGGGCGTGTTATTGTTGGCAGTGTTGATCTGTCTATTCATCTATTAACATCTTCTTGTCAAAGGCATAACCAGATGACCAATTAAGGTGAAATAATGTTTGCCTGCCAGGTGAATGTCTTGAGAGGTTAAGATCACAAGAATTTCTATCAGAGTTACTGCTACACTGGATAGAACTTGCACTATCTTATGCGTGTCATATATATAGTAGTGCACAGACACCAGAAGTTCCATGCCAAATACCAATGTCATGGTCTAATAGCAATAAGGTCAATGTTAGTGCACAGACACCAGAAGTTCTATGCCAAATACCAATGTCATGGTCTAATAGCAATAAGGTCAATGTTAGTGCACAGACACCAGAAGTTCTATGCCAAATACCAATGTCATGGTCTAATAGCAATAAGGTCAATGTTCTAATACTTTCAAGGGCAATGTGATAATTGTTTAAGTGTACTTTCACAGATATATACTACAGTTCCGGACCTTCGATCACATATTGAAGTAAGCTGTTTATTTTGTCGGGCATTGCGATCACAACTCCTGTCTCACACACACAACCTAATACACTTGTGATATGATATTCATATATAATCTGATTCCAGACATATGCTGGTACTCAATCCCTCTATAACACACATACGTTTCCGAGACAAGATTCTGTATAAGATATAGCTTTAATTATTTCTAGTGTATACGTATATACGCTCGAGTGTACGTATTACTACATGTCACAATTCAGAATGCAAACGTCCATCATTAACTTCAGACATAATAATACACATAAGGTCTGATTTGTAAGAATTCCTAAGGCAAAATTTCAGACTGGTCTAACTACTGTTGAAACAGAAGGGAAGGTGCGTAAAACCCAATAAAAATGGACTATGAATGACGGCATCATGCAATCACCAGTCTGTCAACACCCGACCGACGAGCATGAAACTCTCGGCAAGCTGTTCAAGTTATGGAAGGAATTTCTGTCCTTGACAAAGCAGTCGGAGCTGCTGGGCTACCATTCAATACCGTATAACACTACAAAACACTTCATCGTCTTGAAACTAACATCTGCTTCCTTCTTTGCAGTACCATAAGTGCCTGCGTATGTCGCGAGAACAAATACAAGTATGAACCCTCGATCTAATGTTTGATAATCGCAAAACAAGATCCTTGATATGGTGCAGATTAGCATGATGTCTTTCTCGCAAACTTCTTCTTTCATGTTCTTGTGTAATTTCTTCCTTAGACTTATGCTTACATGTTCGATATATTCTTCAAATACTTCAATCCCAGCAAGCACAACAATAAGAGATTGATAGGTTCAAATATCTCTTGAATCTTGTATCTGTGGTTGACATCCACATGCATTTTTTTCTAACATTATTCTCATGTGCTATGTATTGCAAGGCAGTTTTGGACACCTATTCTGACTGTGTAAGGGATATGATTCAGTCCTGGAGCCGATGCTGATTTTGCCTTACTTTACTCCTTTCTCATGTTACTTTCTTTTGTTAATGGATCCACACTCTCTAATGTGTGTTATAATGCTGGTTCCTTGCTATGCATCCACATTCTCTAGTGTGTGTTATAATCCTGGTTCCATACTATGGATCCACATTATCTAGTGTGTGTTATAATCCTGGTTCCTTACTATGGATCCACATTCTCTAGTGTGTGTTATAATCCTGGTTCCATACTATGGATCCACATTCTCTAGTGTGTGTTATAATCCTGGTTCCTTGCACCCACTAACATTCTATAGTCATGTCTATATGGTTTCATTTAACAAAGTGATTTTCATTCAATTATAAAAAATGGCCAGGATATTTGTGCATTGCTCATTCATCAGTTTTAACATAGTGGGCGAACAACCACAACAAATTGTTCATAATTTTTGGTAAGCGTACGTTTTTGTCATATTGCAAAAATCCCTAAAAAAATACTACATTTGTATAATGTGTGCATCATTTGTGATTCAAACAATTCATATCAACTAACATGTACGTTTGTTCCTGAGGATAGAACTAGAAAATGTCTGTAAGACATGAATGCCCCCGTCACCATGTGAAATTAGTTTCAGTGTTTGATGTTCTATAAATAGTTACAACCACTTTGATCACAGGACGGGGACATGCCCCCATACCTCTACTTATTTTGGCGGGGGCATAACAAACTTATTTGTAAACAGAAAGCTTCTTTTCATATTATTTTATTACAGTTCTGTAATTTCTTTTAAGGAAAAAGTTTTGGTATAAATCCACTGTCAGGTGTGTTGAAGCCATCAATGTCTCACAAGCGACAATGACTTCCACATCACTGATATCGATATTGGTGATGCCATTAAGGTTGATCGACAAACACAAGGTGTCCCTTCAGTTAACTTTGTCTCTGCTGATGCCGTTAAGGTCTATCCAAGGACACACAAGGTGTTCCTTCAATTAACTTTGTCTCTGCTGATGCTGTTAAGGTCTATCCAAGGACACACAAGGTGTCCCTTCAGTTAACTTTGTCTCTGTTGATGCCGTTAAGGTCTATCCAAGGTCACACAAGGTGTCCTTTCAGTTAACTTTATCTCTGTTGATGCCATTAAGGTCTATCCAAGGACACACAAGGTGTCCCTTCAACAAAGAGGAGACAAAAGATCAGGTGTGTTGAAGCCATCAATGTCTCACAAGCGACAATGACTTCCACATCACTGATATCGATATTGGTGATGCCATTAAGGTTGATCGACAAACACAAGGTGTCCCTTCAGTTAACTTTGTCTCTGCTGATGCCGTTAAGGTCTATCCAAGGACACACAAGGTGTCCCTTCAACAAAGAGGAGACAAAAGATCCCCAACTTTCAGTAACATCTCTCTTCCTGCTACAAAGCTGATGACTTAAGTCCAGGAGTTTGAAAAAGGACGGAGGAGTTACCTGTGAATGAAGGTGTAAGATGCGAGACATTATTTACAGAAGGACTAATGAACCTGTTACAGCAGGCACAAATCACTGTGTGATTGCACTTTGACAAAATCAATATAATTTTTTTACAGAAAGCAATAAACGTATTACAAATCAAGGGACACATACATTGTACATCTAAGGGGAACACTTAAACTTACCTGCATGGAAAATATGCAGTCACCATTCCTCTTGTCTGAAGGCAATGGATTGAACACAATGTTATCTGGAATTAGAAATGCAGGACAACATAGATATAAGAACTGAGAGGTATCTACTCTTAGTAAGAGTAATTTCCCTTTAACAATGTGGAATGTTCGACCACTGTAATGAGGGCTTATTCATCATGACAGCAAATATTAGTACACTTTACCATACATGTACACCATGTTTTCATTATAAACACCTTACTTAAAACTCAACACTTGGTGACCATAGAGCCACGGACAGATTGTATGGAGGGTGTACGAGTCGTAGACCGGTGGTATGTGTAGGCAAATACATCCCTGCCACACGTTTAGGGTGCATAAACGACAAATACATTGCATGGAAATGGAGTGATACATACCTGTTACACTTTTAGGGTGCATAAACGACAAATACATTGCATGGAAATGGACAGATACATACCTGTTACACTTTTAGGATGTATGAGCCACAAACAGGTTGTATGGACGGGAAAATGATTGAGGAAGTGGACAACATTGGTCAATAAGCCATGAACCATAAGTGTAAGCAACCTCAACTTGAAATTTAAAAGTAAAACAAATTGTTAATATCATATCAAAAATGATTAATACCATAACTTAGTTCCACCCAAATATAACTTGTTAAATTGAATAAAATATTTTAAAAAATTATTCCATATTACTCAACAATGTCAATTCATTATTTTTATTTTGTCTTTTTATTATTTTCAACAAGGATTCATAACCCAAACATTTAGATCCAACAGTTCTGTTCTTAGGGTTATTCGTGTGCTATATTAAAAGATTGCTCTAGTGTCTAGACCGGTGAACATTTAATTTACAGAACTTAACCTGACACCCCGGTAAAGACTGTTATAATTTACAGAACTTAACCTGACACCCCGGTAAAGACTTATAATTTACAGAACTTAACCTGACACTCAGATAAAGAATGTAATGCTTATATTATTACTGTAAATACGGTTTACTCCTTAGTTATCTAACACAGTGAACATCATAGTTACCTTCCAGGGTAAACACCATAGTTACCTACCATGGCGAACACCACAGTTACCTACTATGGTAAACACCATAGTTACCTACCATGGTGAACACCATAGTTACCTACCAGAGTGAACACCATAGTTACCTACCATGGTGAACACCATAGTTACCTACCAGGGTGAACAACCATAGTTACCTACCAGGGTGAACACCATAGTTACCTACCAGGGTGAACACCATAGTTACCTACCAGGGTGAACACTGTGTAATACAACACGGTGGTTGGCAGCATAAACAAGAGGATGGTGAAGAGCAATGTCCCAACAAACAGCTGATCTACATCAAAGGAGCTGGAATCAACACGTTGTCGCAGGGTGTTCCATTTTTTACCCCGGAACAATCTCCACAGAGCAGACAATGTGTACACCTGTAGACGATAAAGCCTGACAACAAAAATTAAGATGGTGTTATAGTCTTCAGCTTCAATAGAAATACGGTTGTTTTAGTCAATAACTTATGATAGGAATATTGGTATAATTTACAGCTTTTATAGGAAAACCGTTGGAGCTATAGCTTTTATAGGAATAAGTTTTTTATTATAGTCTACATCTTTTATAGGACTATCTGGTTGTTATTATTGTCTACATGCTTGTGAGGATTGTTTTTGGAGCTATATTCTACATGGTTTACTTTAGCAATTTTAAAATGATCAATATAAATGGCAACTGGAAATGACAAATTCAATGAAGTGCACTAATGCTTCTGGATTAATTTGTCTTTTTCAGTTGGCATTCATTCTGACTATGAATGCCAACTAAAAGAAGATCAAAATCCTATATGAAAAGCCAATTTGCTGAAATTGATAGATCGGGCGAACTTGACCAGAACCTTTTCTGGCAGCTTTTCAAAAGGAACAAGTCAGCCTCGAAGGTGAAACAAACTGAGCTGAAATATGAAGGGAAACTTTTCGGAGATCCCCATGATATTATAAAAGGTTGGTCTCTACACTTTCAAAATATATTTAAAAAACACGATGCTAAGGAATTTGACTGTCATTTTCGCGACGAGATTGAAAACAGAATCAAAATGTTAAAATCTAGTATTCATTCTGATGAAGACTTGTTTTTATATGATATTTTTACTTCTAGTGAAATCAATCTAATTGGCAAAAACCTGAAGTCAAATAAAGCAGGCGGACATGAAGGTCTGGTATATGAACATATTAAATATGCAGGAAACTCTGTAATTTACCATATACAGAATTTATTCAATCTTGTTGTTCAACAAGAACATATTCCTAAAAACTGGAAACAGGGAATTATAGTAACTCTATATAAAGGTCACGGAAAGCCGAAAGATGATCCTGACAGTTATAGGGGAATAACCCTCTTGCCAGTATTTTTTAAAATGTTTGAAATGGCTATTGCAAAGAGAATTAACAATATAATAGAGTCTGATATATTCCCAAACAAGCAACAGTCAGCATATCAGAAGAATCTATGTAGTCTTTGTACTGCGTTTAATTTGCAGGAATGTGTATATTATAATATGGAAAATGGTTCAGATGTATGTGTCGTTTTTAGATAGCGCTAAGGCGTTTGATACCGTTTGGCATGACGGTCTACTAGTAAAATTGTATGATATTGGCCTTACTGGTAAAGTGTGGAATATTTTAAATTATATGTACACGGATATATACACAGTTCTATAATTTTTAATGGTTTAACCTCTGCACCAGTAAAGATGGAGCGAGGTATCTTACAAGGCGGGGCTCTCTCAGCCAAAATGTACTTAGTTTTTATTAATGACTTGTTGAATGAAGTTGAAAACTGCGGTAGGGGCGCAATGATAATCGATACAACTGTAAATGTTCCAACTCAAGCAGACGATATATGTTTGGTTAGTACAAATATTACAAGTCTAAATAAAATGTTAACTATTTGTGAATCATACAGTCGGAAGTGGCGATTTTTGTATTCTGCGTCAAAAAGTAAAGTTGTCGTATTTTCAAATAAAAGAATCATAAACATTAACTGTACTGTACGTCTTTATGATAATATATTGCCTGTCGTTTCAGAAATTACTCATGTAGGTATCTTATTGAATGCTAAGTACAATTCCATTGAAAGAACAAAACAAGCGTGTAAAAAATTAAAAAGTGGTACTATGGCCCTTTTACGTTCTGGGGCACATCAATGCGCACTAAACCCATTAACTGTTGCTAAAATTGTAAAAATTAAAGTCTTTCCGTCTGCGCTTTACGGTTGTGAACTCTGGGTACTTTCAAATACTGAGTTATTGATGTTAGAGAGAGCCCAACATTTTATTGTTAAGTCAATCCAAGGTTTCGGAAAAAGAACAAGAACTGATATGTGTACTTCTTTAATCGGATGGTTTTCTATAGAGGCGTATATCGATATCAAAAAGCTTTTGTTTTTAGGCAGGATCAGCAGAATGAATAGAAGTAACTTAATCTGCAGAGTATTCATTTTGAGGTATTTTATGTATACAGTTAATAATTATAGTCAAAAAGGTTATATACCAGACATTGTCAGATTACTAAAGAAGTATAATCTTTATGAATACATTATACAATTTCTAGATGATGGTGTTTTTCCAAATAAAATGTATTGGAAGTCATTGATTTATAAATCCGTAACAAACCATGAAACTAATACATGGATGCAAAGAATGTCTAATGACACAGACTTTACACGATTTTTATTGCTACATGACTGTCTAAAACCTCATAATTTATGGAAATTAGCCTTGCGTCACCCAAATTTTCTTGACAATATCGGATATATAATGAAATTGATTGTATCGATACGTGTAAGTAACATACAACTTTTATGTCATCATTGTGGCTATTTCTACACAGATTTTGTATCTCATGTGATTCTGCATTGTTCTGTAACAGAAAATCTTATTTATGGTGTATAATTGCGTGCATTTCAAGTATTGAACTCAGTTCATATCTGCATTCACTGCCTGACTATTCAGTTATTCACATTTTACTAGGAGGCCCAATGACCTATAATTTAAATGAAATTGATTACGAAGAATTTAGACTAGAATCCATATATGCGATAAAAAGAATGTTTGACTTATATACGTAATAATAATTATTACAATAATGTCTTACAAATACTTGTCTTTTTAATATAAGGAAAATGTAAAAAAAAAAATAAAAAAAAATCGAACATAGGCATGGTATTATCAGGGAGTACACACATCCCTGGTATTATTAATATTATTATATTTTATTTTTATTTTTTTTACTGGCTACATAAACCAGTATTATATCACTGATATTTAATAATATATATATGTATATACGTTTGTGAACTTGTATGAACGTCACAATTGTTGTCATTTTGTAAATAATGTATTATTCATGTACTATCACTGTATCATGCTCTCCAATTTGGAGGAAATAAAGATGAGATATACATCTTTTATATGACTATCTGGTTGTTATTATTGTCTACATGCTTGTGAGGATTGTTTTTGGAGCTATATTCTATATGGTTTACTTTAGCAATTTTAAAATGATCAATATAAATGGCAACTGGAAATGACAAATTCAATGAAGTGCACGAATGCTTCTGGATTAATTTGTCTTTTTCAGTTGGCATTCATTCTGACTATGAATGCCAACTGAAAGAAGATCAAAGCTTATATCTTTTAGTTTTGGAATATTTAAATCTTTTAGAAAATTGAATTGAAATTCAGCATTTATTCAAGTAAGTCACTAAATATTTAATTATCATTGGCAGAACAATAGTAAGGAATGAATTGTTCTCTTCCATATGAGTATTATTTTAATATGATAACAGTAGAAGTAAATATGTTGAGATTTCTTAATGACTAAATATCAGTTGTCACTGCTTACCTTGCAGCATAGACATAAAAGCAGTATACATGCAGTGTCATCATGGAGACAATGTCCTGTAGAATACACAGCTGGGCTGTCACTCCAATCACACCAACACACAACGAGTACCACAGCACCCCACTGAGGACAGGCTTCAACAGGTACAGGTAACCTCAAACACAACACAAAAACATTTATTCACTTAAGCTCCCAACCACTGTCTCCCATAGGTTACCTCATCAGCCCAGTAAGGAAAGGCTTCTACAGATACATGTAAACTACTCGAACAAAACACAAAATTCTTCCAGTCCTATTCTACAGTATGCCCACAAACAGAGCCTCAAGAGAGGCTTTAGACTCACCTTTCCACAGGTATATGTAACAAATATCTGATTCCTGACTTTGAGACTCTGTTTTCTAAAGGTTGAGGTGATGCAAGATAAAGTAGACTGCTAACTTTGAGACTCGCCTCTTTAGGGGTAGATTTGATACAAATGGATTTCCACTTTTGAGACCAATATTTCCACATGAAGAAATGGATTTCTTCCTTTGGGATTCATCTTTCGACAAGTAAAAAATGATATGATGCAAGTATATTTCTATCTGTGAAACTCACCTTTCCATAGGTATATGTGATAAAGAAAGAAGTGACCAAGGTATTGTGTGAGCTGACTGTTTAACTTGAGGCCAGCAGGAACCCCCATCAACCACTCCAGCAATAGGGACAGGTTATCAGCTGTTTGCTGTCAATATCAAATGATTAAATAGTGATAGAACAATTTCTGCCCTGCATCACATATAGCATGTTTTAAACCATATATCACATTCAAATAAATTCAGCATATAATTGCGATACAATTTTGGTATGAACATGTTATTTATAACAACATGAACATTTTAACAAGCTTAAGATTGGTATGATCTTAACTCATTCACCCCTGAAGACACATTTGAACTCCTCCAATTCAATGGTTGAAATAGTTCATTATGAAATTTCAGGGGTGAACTAGTTAAACAGCTATGTGATATATTGGTTTTAGAGAAATATTCAATGGTTGCAATACTTTTTGGTCAGCAGTTACAATTTAAGGTATATTTAGTATGATTGTGGTACATGTACCTGGTAACTATATCTGCCTAGAAGAAAAATTAAGGACAGATTTCTGGTACACAATTACATATATCCTCTAAACCAAGCTTTTAAACATAAATTGTGTGGGTTTTTTAAGACAAAGTTCTGTGTGACAAACTGAACAATTTCACATAGACTAAATTTGAAATTATTGTATGATAAGTAACTGTTTTCCCAATGTTTGATTTAATTTCAAAACAGTTCAGATTGTTTGCACATGCAACATCCTCTGGTAGGTCAATCCAAGCAACTTTGGTTTATACCAGAATTGTTTTCTCTCTTCAGAAAATGGGCTCAGTTGCCAAGATCATTGTGAAATGTCTTCCACAGTGTTAAGAAACCAGTAACTTCTTTATCATACATTCCATTAATAAGGATATTAGTTCTATCATGAAGTGGTTATTTTAGGACATTTACATATACACTGGATGATAAAATATAACAGGTAATAATTACATCTACTCAGGAGGATACAGTATTACAGGTAACTGTATCTACCCAGGAGGATACAGTATTACAGGTAACTGTATCTACCCAGGAGGATACAGTATTACAGGTAACTGTATCTACCCAGGAGGATACAGTATTACAGGTAACTGTATCTACCCAGGAGGATACAGTATTACAGGTAACTGTATCTACCCAGGAGGATACAGTATTACAGGTAACTGTATCTACCCAGGAGGATACAGTATTACAGGTAACTATATCTACCCAGGAGGATACAGTATTACAGGTAACTGTATCTACCCAGGAGGATACAGTATTACAGGTAACTGTATCTACCCAGGAGGATACAGTATTACAGGTAACTATATCTACCTAGGAGGATACAGTATAACAAGTAACAAAATCTACCTAAGAGGATACAGTATACAAGTAAGTTTATTTTCCCAGGATGATACAGTTTTACAGGTAACAAACCTACCTAGGAGGGTACCGGAGACATACCTGGTACCTATATTTATCCAGGAGGATCCAGTATTACAGGTAACTGTATCTAGCCAGGATACAGTATTACAGTTAATTGTACCTATTCAGGAGGATAAATATTACAGGTAACTGTATCTACCCAGGATGATACAGTATTACAGGTAACTATATCTAGCCAGGATACAGTATTACAGTTAATTGTATCTATCCAGGAGGATAAGTATTACAGGTAACTGTATCTACCCAGGATGATACAGTATTACAGGTAACTATATCTACCCAGGAGGATACAGTATTAGATACCAACATCTGCCTAGTAGGACTAAAGAGTGCATATGTTTGTCTTTTTAAAGCAAAACATATCTGTACAGTAAGAGTCTACAAATACCTACATCTGCCCAGGATGATACTGATGCTGCAACTGTGTCACTGATGTTACTCTGCATCAGGAAATACATCATGGCAACACCGAGTCCAGTGTCTACCACCTGACGACTGAGGGCATCCATACATCTGCATGATAAAATATCACACTGTGATGTAAGTACTGAATATTACCTGTATCTATGTAATATTCATGGTTCATGAATGATTTATAAACTATTCTTCATGGATGAAAGTTGTTGAAAATGAAAATATTTCCAAACTGGTTCCCTTACATATAGTACATTTCAGCTTAGTTGATAAACTATAAACAAAAAATACAACTTTAAAACCTGAAAAGAATATGTGGACAGACTGACATATGCTAGATAAGAACAAATGGAATTTGAGAAAAAAGTTATGAACTTGTGCATATTTTAATACAGTGTACCTGAGGTGTTGCAGTGGTGTGGATGTCTTTTGTATCACCAGCGCGTTCTGTTTACAGCGATTGGACAGTTGGTGGGCCAAGGCTGGTGTGTCAAGGACCTGCCGCACAACGCCATAATGGCTGGTAATTCTACAAACCAGTAGGACACTAATATTGAATCAGACAATCGAGCAAAAATATATGCCAAATCACTCCAAAAATGGTGAAACTCCAATATTGTATCTTGTTGTCATTATCTTAACATTCTGATCTTCTTGTTTTATTGTTTTAAAGAATAAAGGCTGAGCCTGTTTTGAACACAAACAGGAACTGAAAACATATTTTGTTAGCTTTCAAAAAAGGTCTGTTTCCTTAGTCAAGAAAATAGTGCAAATTACCTGTGTCACGACTCTACACCGCTGAAAGTGAAAACAACTCGCTAAGCCAAAGTGTGCCGAATCAGTAATGCCAGCTGTCAAAAATGATAGAAACATTTTGCCCAATAACACTCTAATACTGCAGGCAGTCAGGGGGATGGGTCACATGTTTACCCATTCTGCCCCATAGTGAATGATAAAATATTATCATAAAGATGACTCAGCTGGTGGCCCCTTTCCTCTCTGTTCATCAATTCCACTTTCCTCCTAACCCAGATGGATTTTTTTATTTTCCTGACTTCTTATGTTCTCCCTTACAAGCACCTTTGAGTTGTTCCTCCCTTAGTAACACCTTTGAGTTGTTCCTCCCTTAGTAACACATTTGAGTTGTTCCTCCCTTACAAACACCTTTGAGTTGTTCCTCCCTTACTAACACCTTTGAGTTGTTCCTCCCTTAGTAACACCTTTGAGTTGTTCCTCCCTTAGTAACACCTTTGAGTTGTTCCTCCCTTAGTAACACCTTTGAGTTGTTCCTCCCTTAGTAACACCTTTGAGTTGTTCCTCCCTTAGTAACACCTTTGAGTTGTTCCTCCCTTAGTAACACCTTTGAGTTGTTCCTCCCTTAGTAACACCTTTGAGTTGTTCCTCCCTTAGTAACACCTTTGAGTTGTTCCTCCCTTACTAGCACCTTCGAGTTGTTCCTCCCTTAGTAACACCTTTGAGTTGTTTCTCCCTTAGTAACACCTTTGAGTTGTTCCTCCCTTAGTAACACCTTTGAGTTGTTCCTCCCTTACAAGCACACCTTCGAGTTGTTCCTCCCTTACAAGCAACTTTGAGTTGTTCCTCCCTTACAAGCACACCCTCGAGTTGTTCCTCCCTTAGTAACACCTTTGAGTTGTTCCTCCCTTACTAACACCTTCGAGTTGTTCCTCCCTTACAAGCACACCCTCGAGTTGTTCCAGTCTTTGATGTGGTTGTGTTTGTAAGCACGATCTGTAATGGCTGATTCATTGTATTTTAATCAATCAGCCATAACATACCATGCTAACAAACTTACCATTCACGCAAAACTGATGCATCTTAACCCGAACAATGATTATAACATTAGATCCTCCACAATACATACGCTTTGTTAAGCTTGTTGTCCTGATGAAGACCTCTTCACAAGGTAGATAGCTCTATATATATATAGTTTATAAGACACCCTTTGTAGCAATCAAAAGATATGGCCATACTAATTTGTGACATCTACATATTATGAAACATGATTTAATCAATTTCTTGAGAAAATGTAAAATTATATGTGTCCTGTACCTGTTATCCAGTGTAAACGTGACAAGGCGGAATAGTCCAAACATCCAAATCAGACCTCTGAGCAGTAGTAAGGTCGGCAAGCTCCAGCTATCTTTGTAGTCTGACTTTCTGTTCTGTGGAAATTCTTGTATGTAATTTACCACAGTTTGTAGGATGCCTGTCTTTGATGTTTCTCGTTCTGTAATAATATCTCTACAGGTGATGAAGTAGGACTTGACAAGGTCCTCTGGATTGTAGATGATGCAGCTACAAACAACTGAACACTTACTCATTATAACGTCACATTCTAACTGCCCCGTCAACGACTTTTTTATGTAAACAAAACACTCCCTCCTGTTGTCATGATCACTTCTAGATGTCTCTGATGGATCCCATAGGCCAATTGTATCAGTATTTGTTGATATTGATGCATTCAATATCCCTGATATGTAAACAAGTTTCAGTTGTTCGTTAAGCCTCCCACAAAGCTGACCTTTGGGAGACATAAGGATATCGTATGGAACAAACACTTTCCAAATGTCCACATGTTCTCTCATGTTTGAATTTTTTTTCATTTAATGTTCCGCTGGATTTCCTGTAAAAAAGAAATAAATTTAAATCAGCATGTTCCTATACTGTCGGAACTGTTGACTTCTATCAGGACAAAATGCTATTTATAATGTCAGGTGCGTCTTAATAAAACAAATTTCAGTTCACACCTTTCAGCAGTACACACGAGTGTAAAAATGCTTAGAAATGAATGGACAGGATTCCACAGTTTAAAATCCAAAACAATACCAACAAAATATTTAGAAACCAGAGGGAAATATTGTGAACAGCAAATGCCATCTTACAGTAAATTTTGATTAAAACTTCATACAGCTGTATTTGACATTGTCTTTTCAACATTAAGATTGATGTTGGATCTTTTTACAAAATAGTAAATTTGCTCTGATCAAGCACTTTGCAACTCAGTCAGAAAAACAAAATAAGCCAAATTCGACAACAGGAAGTATCCACTTATGAAAATTAACTAACTAATTAACTTTCTGAGAAATATCAATAAAAAAAAACTTAAAATGTCAAATTAAATATGTTTGCCTGATGACCAGCTTTGTTCCGAAAACAAGCAAAAAAGGAAATATGCCTAATTAAGAACCAAGTAAACTGTAAAATATGGTAAAAACTAAACTTGTTGCATACTGTTAACCTAGACACGTATATACTACAGAGATTAGAAACTGCCTCTGTCTCTTACTGAAGTGCACCCATGTCTGGTGGTTTACAGAATTAAATTCAGTGCTAGTCTACGATATCGTAGCAATAACATTGTAATGCAGGTTCTGTGAGTAATATTCTATAACGTTTATTCCTCTTCTTATATATTGACTTCATAAAAAAAATTAAATATTGATTGATAAATTAAACAAGAGACCCAATGGGCCTGCATCGCTCACCTGGTATAAAACTCACACTTGTAACCTTAAAAGTGATCTAAAATAAAGCTACAGGCAAAATATCAGTATTTATGATTAAAATTCATTCAAAAGACCCTGTTATTTGTTTTTTGAACATTTCACCCCTGTGATTGAAAGTCGAACAAAGTCATTATGTTGAACACATTGTATAGCCTTTCATCTCAGGATGCAACTTGCAAAGTATAAACATCCTG